AAGCTTCACTTTTTCTTTTGTTTTCCTTGATAACGCGGATGTCCTTTTCTCCAAAAGGCTCTTTCAAACTAGAAATGTATATATGATGTCTGTAATACACAGTGAGCAATTACCTAAAGACAGCTGTCAAGATAATCAAAGGTTGTCAATCTCAGATGAAATGGCTGGGTTCTATATAACTCCCTATATTTTGACACTAAACCATAAATTAAATGCGCATATGATCCATTACAGATGTTAAACCTCTGTTTATTGTTTTATTAAAATGGACACAAGACGTAACGCAAACAACCAGCTTGTTAGACATACCTTTCATACCATTAAGACACATAGCAAACATGGCTGATGAAGTCACTGGCTCAGTTTCATGCCTGCTAAAAGCGGTGCTGTTTTCTGGTCCAACAAGTTATATTCCAGACAATCTGTTGACTGAATATGTGTAAATTTCAGGGTGGAAATGAATTAGGACATTGTTATGATTTATTATAAGTGGGGGTTAAATTGAAAAGAGTGAAAAAGAAAATTGCAATCATCTCATATAAAGTGTTTTTGCTCAGCATGCTGTGACAGCAATGCTGAATGGGTTTCTGTTAGCATAATGGATGGCTGTTTCTCTCGCTTAGAGGTTCTGTTTACAAAAACTAGTTAACAGGATTTTAATCTGTGGAAGACACAGAGCTATTATTCAGTTAACATTATTAAAAAGAGATAGTGAACGTAGCATTTCTCATACTGAATAGGGGAGAATCTATACTTTAGAAATTTCAATTGGATGATGAAATGTATTTTAGATGTACAGCAAAAATTAGTGTATTAACTTCATTAATTTGTAATATTTTAAAGCCTACACAAAAACACACATATTATGTCATCAATTGCTGCTATAAGTTACAAATGACAAAAGGAAAAGACTTGATGCTCCACTATTCTTGTGCATCTTACTGTTTGTCAACTTCAGCATCTGACAATAGATTTAAGTCATCTTTAAAAGTGTCATAGGTATGACTGAAAGCTCTTTAGATGAGAGATAGCTTTTCAGATCTGTAAGAATCCTCAAAGGATGACTTTCAGATATCCTTTGCAATCAGAACGTCTTAGAATGACAAATGTATGCCTCCACAAAAGGTTAGGCAACACTTGAAATTTTTTTTATGAGAATTGTTTCTTTAACTGAGACCAGCCAGACTTCTAGCGTATGTTCCTTAAAGGCCTGTGCTCCTTTTTTTCTCTAGGCTATGCCTTTCAGTGTCTCTTTGCAAGTCTTCATTTAATTTGCATAACTGAAGGTTGCTGTCTTTCCATGCAAAGTTTACAATGATAAGTTTACATCAGGTAGTGATGCAACACTTTTTATGTTTTACCATCGTGTGGTGAACTCCAGGTAATAATTTCCTTAATTCTCTCACAAAGAACTTTAAATGTACATGAAAAAAACAACCACAAGTGCAAATAAGGAGTGAACAAACACACTGTCACCTGATGCAAGGACTGCATTTCAAATTAGAAAACATCTAAACATCTAAAACATCTATAATCTATTAATAGACTAAGAATACCACACTACAAATAACAGGGTAAATTTATGGTTTCCACTGTGGACCTGATGTTGCCTTAAAGAAGTTTTTTGTGCTTTCATAGAACTCCTGCCTGTTCCATGCCATCATGAGAAATGTAAAAAAAGAAAAAAGGGTTAGGATATTTAAAAAGAATACATTTAGGTCTAAAAATGGTAAATTTTTAATGTTCTTCCCGTGACTGAATAACATTTTGCCGGCAATGCTTATGCTGAGACTTTCCATGTTTTATCTAATGACATTCTAAAGTAGTTGTACTTGGTTTTCTGTGGTCAGGGTTTGGTGTGCAAGCTGGGTCTCTGGCCCACTTCACGTCCTGCTGCTCACTGCTACACCCACATGTGGGCTTCTTTTGGTTGCTGGAGTGCTTTGCTTAGAGATTGCACTGGCCCACTTTTTATGGTTGTATCTATGTGGCCTGGTCCTCTTGGATGTTAGGTGGAGGCTGTCCTGGGGGAGTTATGACATTGTTGGGTTTGCAGGGCCCTAACTTCTGCACTTGACTCATTGAGAGTCAGATAGCATACATCAGTGCATTACTATCACCAAGTGAGACTAAGAGCAGAAACAAATGATCACAAGAGTGACAAAAGTCTCTGCAATAGAACATTGTCTAGCTGAAAAACGATTGTGGCCCTGTGTCTAGCAAGAAGAAATGAAGTTGCTGCCTGGCCATATTTGCATATTAGCACACAGCCTCTCTGAAGTCAAAAACTCAGATAAAAGACATATCAATCCTTCTGCTGTGAGATTATTACAAATGTTCAATAACACTTAGACCAAGTGATGTTCTGGGCTCTCACTACAGCAAAACAGTGGTTGTAGTTTTGAGCCTTGATTATACTTGTGAATGCTTTTATAGGGAAATTTTTCCATTTCAGTCCACAGCTTAAAGAAAATCTGTATCAAATTAGACAAGACTTTGTTTAACATGCAATTAATTGTAATATACCTGCACATAAACAGAATTATTTGATAAGCTGTGCTACTAATTTTAGGTTTAAGACTCAGTAATAAATCAGTGAACTGTCTTGTACAATTTTGCTAACATATGGGAAACTGGTTGACCAATTTAAGAAGTATTACTCTAAAATCCTATCAAAGAGAGCTGTTAATCTAGTTTTGACATTAATTATTCTTTAACTGACTGGCTGGTTCCCAGTTGTAAGCAAAGGTACATGACAAAGTTTACAAATGTTTCGGTCTTAATCCATGGGCGGCTTTGAAGTCCTTTATGAGCAAACCAGTGGTTATCACAATGGAAACGGTCAACCAAGCACCTAAACAAAGACACATGTTGTTACTTTCCAATTTAAGCACAGCTTCAGAGGCATTTAGTTTGGCTAAAGGTAAGAATTCTGCTGAATTAATTAAGTTTCATTACCCATTTCATCTCTCCAGAAGTGGACCATTAGGCCAGTGCAGAGGGGTAAGCGATCAGCTAATCTGCCTGTGATTTATGTGGCAGGGAACCTGAGGACTTAACTCAGCTTTAGACCACATTGATTACTGACATGCCTAATAATCTAAACCTACTGGTACACTGAGGCAGGCTTATTGGAAATGTCAAATCAAGCTGCTCATTTGCATTCATGATGTATAGCGTCTATTTCAGCATCTGCCTATGCAGGACACACTGACACGTGGAGCCTTTAAGAAAGGGTTGAGATTTTCAGCTTCAGAACTCACCATCTGGTCCTCCAGGAGATTGGCATAGATCTGAAGGATTTAAAAAAAAAATATTTTTCCAGCAACCGATCCTGTGTTGGATTGATATGCACTAAAACGTGGATGAACACGCATGTAACTTGTGTTGCGATTGAGACCTCTGAGATTAGAATTAATGCCCAGGCTTTAAAGTATGTGACTTTGATAAACAGCTGAAAAAATGCTTTCAAATGAGTTCAAACAAAACACTTACAATTATACTTCAGTGTCAAAACCAAAGGGTACAATCGTTTTCTGCAGGTCATTCTTCTTTCTTGTTTTCAGAAATCAATACAGAAAAATGAATGAAACCGTGAAATTGATGTTGTCTCCATTTTTATGCAAAGATTTAACTGAAACAATGTTTTTCTTATTACGATTTCATATTTTTATATTTCATGTTAAGAGCAAGTTTGAATGGTAATCATGATATTCAGAATTTTACCAACAGAGGCTCTCATACTAAAATATGGATGAGTAATGACAGTGTCAGATTGTATCACCAAACTCTGCAGTAAATTACATATTTTAAGAATGCACATTCTGCATAAAGATGACAAGTTCCCAAGGGTTTTCATACATTTGTCAACAATACAAACCCCCATTCTTCACTCATTACAGAGGAACGACTGAGGAGAAAAGAGTATGGGTTACTGAGTGGCCTGTCCAAAGTGCTGATTTTTCCTAGTTCAGTTTGTATTTTAACTTTTAAAGAAAAAAATCACAAACTCAAAAATGGCTGTTTGTCTTCCCTAAAGGACAAAAATCCACACAGCTAACATCGATGTTTTGTCAAGGTTTTCTAAAAATTTTAAAAGAAGACATTATTCATGCATAGAGTAAGTTGTGTGTGTTTGAGGGGGGTTCTTCATTCTATTTATTATTTCTAATGCAGGATGACCTATTGGCAAAGCTCTCTGTTGAAAAGAAAGACATTTTGGTCTGGTTTGAATTTATGTCTAATTAGTTTACTGAGGCTTATAGAATACTAATCATTTCTTCACTCCCAGATTAGCATGTGTGCCTAAATCTCTAGGTGAGAAATATTGAAAATAGATTTGTAGAAACACTCATTTTAGAGAAAACTAAACAAGTGCATATTTCATTGTCTTGTAAGAAAAAAAATCCCATAACACACAAATGATCTTTGCCTCATTATCTGGCTCACTGAGAACAGTTGGTTTAGCAGGAGAGATGGCTAATTGGAGGTTTGGTAGTTGTATTTCATAAGAGTCACTGGGCAGAAACCCAATGTTCACTGTGATGTGCCCATCAGAGTGTGAATGTATATGATAGAGAAAAAGCTCTGCATATCCTGTAATACATTAGAGACAACTATGTGCTGTATGAGTGTATGCATATATGTCTATGTGCATGGAAGAATGCCTCTTGTAGTGTGCACGCAGTGGTAAAAAACCCCAACATAAGGACAGTCCATTTACCAGCAGCTATTTAAAGCCGCGAGCCACTAGACTTTCATGTGCTCATATTTATTATTTGACTTAAAAGGCTAGATGCAGTTAAGATTTTTTTCAAGTAATAAAATTAAAGAAGCAGACACCCTGACAGTAGAGCTACAATTATTACATATTTTCAATTAGACATATCACCTCATTTTCACATCCAAGCTGCTTTGACTTTATGTTAACCATCTCAACACAACAGTTTACAACCATGTGTTGCAAATCCCCTCAACAAGCTTGACTTCCTCTCTTGCAGCCTTGTTGGAGGTTATACTGGCCGGCAGGGACTGCCTGGTGGCGGGAGACTCATGCTCGAGTGATGAGACTTGTAGTCCACGTCTACGTACTTTACGTCAGTGCGTGGCGGGAAACGGAAGCATGAAGCTTGGCCCGGGAGCACGAAGCCAGTGCGCCAATGCTGTGTCAGCTCTCCTGTCCAGTCCCTTACATGGCTGCCAGTGTAAACGAGGAATGAAGAAGGAGAAGAACTGCCTAAGCATCTACTGGAGCCTGCATCAGTCTATAATTCATGGTCTGTAGTTGTTTTTTTGTGCAAATCAAAATTTATTGTTATACACGGTCATATTTGGATGGTGTTTGTTATGAGAAGTTTGTATAGTTTTTGTAATTACTATGTATGTTTCATTTGACTTCTGATCACTTGAGCCAGGATCCACATGTCTATTACTCTCTCAGGACTCAACCTGGTGGAGAGTTATCCCTACGAGATGGTGCGGAGGGATTATGACTATGTTCGCTTGGCTTCCATTACAGCTGGCAAGTTGACTTTATTAATTTTAACTTTATAAAAAAACTGTTTCACCTCTTGAATATGCTTTTCTCTATGGAGATGATTTAAAGACCGCAGAATTAGTTGGAAACACACACATTTACAACATATTGTAGACATAACTTAAGTGTTGGCAATAATTTTTCTTGTATGCATCATTGGAAGTAAACCCCATTTATATGTCATCTGAAATTAATCGTGCATGCCATTGCAAGTTAAGTAATTTCTCTTTGAAAAAGGTTAGTTTGATGGAACCTAATAAATCTTCGTTATTTTCTTATCAGGATATGCTTAATGTGTATGAAAAAAAACAATTACATTTGTTTGTGAATCACGGGACTCTTGCTTTTAATGTACAATTTAAATGTAGACAAACATCACAACATATCAGATTGAGAGAAATCATTTAACCTTTCATTCAACATTTCAGTTTAGCACATGTAAGTGTCACAGGCAATGCTTACAGGTTCAAAATGCTGTCATGTTCAAGCCTCTTAGAATTCAGTCCAGATTTTGACAAAAAAACTGTTCAAATTTTTCCACGTCCGCATTGTTTCACATGTGCGACAGATGGGAGTAGTAACGTTGAAATGACAGAAGAATGATGATAGAATACATTCACATTTACAGATGATACGACATATATATATATACCATAAAGTTTTTATCCAAACATAGAGATTCGATTGTGTTTGCAAACACCAGTCCTGTAGTTGCACAATAAATTAATAAACCAGACAATACCTTAGGTTATCCATAAACACAGTATTTTTTGCAATGTTTTGCAATGTTTTTTCTTGGACATCTTGTATTTGACCTTTCTTTCATCCACAGACTCAGATGTTGGCATGACAACGGTAAATCGCTGCTTGGATGCAGCCAAGGCTTGTAATGTTGATGACTTGTGCCAGAGGCTTCGCACAGAATATGTCTCCGCCTGTATCAAACCTACTGCCAAGTCAGGCTTGTGCAACCGACCTAAATGCAATAAGGCTCTGCGCAAGTTCTTTGACCGTGTTCCTGCTGACTACACGCATGAACTGCTTTTCTGCCCATGTACGGACACCGCGTGCGCAGAGCGTCGAAGGCAGACTATAGTACCCAGCTGCTCCTATGAAAGTGTGGAAAAACCTAATTGCATTACAGAAATGAGGATCTGTAAAGCCGACTATGTGTGCAGGTTAGTTTTGATTTACCTTAACAATAGCTTGGATGAAGATTTCGAATATACAAGCCAACAATGTTTTTGCATGGGATGTCTGAATGGCCTCTGAGAAACAAATGATAAAGGCTACCAGCTTAGTTAACAACCGTGTCCTCTTAAAATGTGACCAAGTTTTCTCATGCAGTTTCTTTTTTATGAAAAAAAAGCATCTATCAGTGACCTATAGTGGTTGTAAGAGAAGGTGCATGATAGGGATAAAATGGTGTCCCCAATAAATCATAAATAAAACCAATTTTTTTAGATAATTAATGTTACCACGCAACCAGAAGGTGATCTGCTGTAATGTGTTTTGTTTACATGTATCAATCGAATGTTGTAGAGACATGAACTTCCATCCCAAGTGTTGCATTAGACTGCAATTTGTTATGACAATCAGTGTTCATTTTTTGACAGCTGTCTTCACCATCCATCCATATTTGGCAATGTACTGTTCCGTATTAAGGTTCTTTAAAACTAAATAAACAGCCATTCAATCAACCAAACGGCCAACTGTTTCACCCTCCAGCTTTCTGCCACTATTGGTAGAACACCCCAGAGAGCCTGCTGGAATAGCATATTAAATATTTAACACAGATAAAGAGCCAGATGGAGTTATCGCTCATTGCTATCTCTGGTCATGGCGATTATTTTTCCACAGCTCCATTACACTCAGAAGGCTTTACTAATGATCTTAGGTTTAGGGGATGAAATATATTACTCTTACTATCACTTTCACAAAATAGTCCAGTGCTTTTGTTTTTCAGCATGGAAAATAATGTATCTTGATTCCAAGTTGATTGGAATTCAAATAAAAATAATTTATAAGAATAATACAGTCAAACCTTTTACATGAAACAGTAGAGGAAGTTATTATGTTTGCTAACCATTGCTCATTCAATGCTGTGTAGATCCCGTCTGGCACAGTTTCAGTATGACTGTGAACCCTCAGATACATCTGTCAGTGGATGCAAGCAAGGCAACTACGAAGCCTGCCTCTTTGCCTACACAGGGCTTATAGGTAAGTGCACGTCTGAAATGTAACTCAGAGAATGAAACACATCTACAGTAGAGAGCAAAATAAAATAAACATGTGGAGGAGTTAAGAGTGTGTAAATGCATAAAGCTATGTGCCATCAAACTTAGAGAGGAAGGAGAGGAGGAAATAAAAATGAGCTGGCTGGAATGAGCGAAAACCTGCTTTTTTAGGTAAATCTGTGTATAAAAAAGTGTGTAGGAGAATTCAATCCAACTTCTTATCATAAACCAAAAGACAAAGTTCAGGTAAACTTGACATGCAAAATCATCTCTTATTATATCTCTTTTTATGATGTGAAGTTTAATCTGTTTTCTAACAGTCCATAAAAGAAAAATATCCACTTCATTTCTGCACACCGGAAGGGTGCACTACCTTAATGCATTTCAAGAACCTCAAATGGTGCCCTTCAGCGCAAACACAGTCTTGGCATTTTCATTCCCATCTTGTATTTATTAAAGCACTTGAATCCCACCTTCACTATGTTGGAAGAACTTCAGTGACCTAAAAAAAAATTAGAGTATTTCTCTGGACCGCTCTCTGGGTCCACTCTTGCACAAAGGCATTTTATTGCCTCATTGAAGAGGGAATAAACACACAGTGCTCAGGAAATGCAGTATGCATTAATGTGTTCGAAAATAAAGTGCTTTAACTTCCGCATAACAACTCCAAGGATAATGAATGTTTAATACTGATTGAAGTCTGGTGCTGTCTCTCTGCAGGAAGCACAATCACTCCAAATTATGTTGACAACTCCACATCCAATGTGGCCCCATGGTGCTCCTGCTCAGCCAGTGGGAGCCAGAGAAAGGAGTGTGATCATTTTCTGGAATATTTCACAGACAACACCTGTCTCAGTGAGTGTCATGATGTGCACAGTAAAAGGGAATGTACAGGCTTGGGCTATTCAGAGTACTGTGACATGTTATTTGACTAGTATTTTGCAGTTTGAGCTCAAAAGCCAATGTTTCTTCTCTAATTCCAATTCATTTCAGTCAACATGTCCATCAATAATTCTAGTTCCATATACCATATACCTACCCATCCATCCATCCATCCATCCATCCATCCATCCATCCATCCATCCATCCATCCATCCATCCATCCATCCATCCATCCATCCATCCATCCATCCATCCATCCATCCATCCATCCATTCATCCATCCATCCATCTATTATTGTAACCACTTATTCCCTAATGGGGTCGGAGTATGATGATAAGCCCTCCTTCTGTTACTGCGGTGTTTTAACATTTTCAACCACCCGCCTTTATGTGGCCTTTATTTTCACTTCTAAAACTTCTAAGATTTATTCACTAGTTTAAAAAAACCTAATTTAAATGTCAACAGTTTACATTTTAAACGCACCAATCTGCTATGCATAGTCTGTTGTTTTACACACTA